ATGTCCATTTGGGACCATAAGAGTGTGCAGGCACATGTGCACAGGCCTGGAAGAGCAAGAGTTTCACCCCATCCAGAATTATGAGTGTAAAGCACAGCAGTACAAGGATTTCACATGCTTGGAACCACCCACGCCCATGGGGGGGGAGGATGGGGGGGGAGGCATCAACAGCCCAGGCAGTCCTGCTCCAGCCACTCTAGCAGCTGCTAAAGGAGCCATCCCTGGAGGTTTGCTTGAAGCTCTGGGAGCTGAACCTCCTCTGTTAACCTTTTATGTGTAAACAATTGCTCAGTCTATTACATTCAGGGCCAAATTTCAGGTAGTCATCCAGGATGGAGAGAAGCCCTCCAGATTCAGCAAAGAGACTTGGGACCGCAGAACTACCCAGCCTCTATCGGGTTAGAGTGAAGCAGGATGAGCCCCAGGAGAGGGAGGTGAGCTGTTTCTTCTGTCCTTTCTGAGATTCCCCAGAACTCAAAATTGAAGTCTGAGAGGGAGGTACAGGTTTTCACCTCAGGGTGCCCAGAGTGTAAGTGGGAGACAAGCCCTGCCCTCAGGGGTCCCTGCCTTAGAGATGGGAGAGGCAGGACCCTGCCAGAAGCCAGAAAACAAGACTTGGTGTCATATAAAGATGTATGGGCCCTAGCCTGTTTGCCTCAGTGGTTAGAGCTTTGGGTCATGGGTTCGATTCCAATCAAGGGCATGTGAGGCAACCAATCAATGTGTCTCTCCCATTGCTGTTTCTCTCTCTCTGTCTCTTCCCCTCCCTTCCACTCTCTCTAAAAAGTCAATGGAAAAAATATCCTCCGGTGAGGATTAACAAAAACAAACAAACAAACAAAAAAGATGTATCGGATGTACACTTTAAGTATTTTTTACAGGAAGTCTTTTTTCTTGTGGGTAACATTTACCCTTCTAACCATTTTGAGGTGTACAGTTCAGTGGCATTAACATTGATGACCAGCATTCACATTGCTGGACGACCATCCCCGCTACCCAGCTCCAGAACTCGTTCATCTTCCTAAACTGAAACTCTTCGCCCATTAAACACAACTCCCCATCTTTCCTTCCCCCAGCATCTGGCAACCACCACTCTATTTCCTGGCTCTATGAATTTGACTACTCTAGATACCTCATATAAATGGAATCATACAGTATTTTTGTGTGTGACTGTGCACTTAGTATAATGTCCTCAGGGTTCATCCATGCTGGAGCATGTGTCAGAATTTCCCTCCTTTTTATGGCTAAGAAATATTCCGTTGTATGTATACACCACATTATGTTTGCTCATTCATGTGTCAATGGACACTTGGGCTGTTTCCTCTTTGGGGTTATTGTAATAATGCTGCTATGAATAGCATTATTGCATATATGAGTGTACAAATCTTTGTTTGAGTTCCTGCCTTCATTATCTTTTAAGGGTTAAATGGTTTTAAGACTATTAAAGAATGCAAGATCCCACCTACTTTTAAGATCTTTAAAATTACATTTCTTGGGCTCTCATCAAATTCAGCATCCCAAGTTAGGGAAAAGACATTTACACGTAATAAGTTTATCCCCAGGGTGGCAGCTGTGGACTTCTATTAATAGACAGAAGAATCAGGAGACTGTATAACTTAAATCTACGGAAGCGACTAAGTTATGCCTCTTGAAGTTTTGAAATCATTGTCAAAACAACCACGTAACTAGGGTTCAGTGTGTCCAATCAGGGTCACAAATAAGAATATAGGAAGCCTCCTGGCTTCAAACTATTGGTAGACTATGTCAGTGCAACCAAAAAGGTTGCAGATGGCTTTAAGACCCTTCTAGCTGTCATGATAAAGAATTCGAGGGACTATGAGGCTGAGCCTAGGATGGCTGCAACTCTTCAGCAGTTTCCTCCAATATCTGGAGCTCAAATTGCTGTCTCTGTCCAGGACCTTTTCCACCTTCATAGTCTGTCAGGCCAAGCCTGGACTCTACACCAACACTTCCAGTCCAGCTGGGAGACTAGGTCTACATAAATAAAATCAGGAGAAAGAACTGTCTTCAGTCTGGGTAGATTGTGTCCTGGGAAGTACTTGACCATGTTTGTGCAGGTGGGCCCTGCAGCCCTGTGGACACCAAGGCACAACCACATGAAAACTACCATGAAAATGCAGTGAGCCTAACTCTTTTGAAAATTGCAGCTGCTTCATAAGCCCCTGAAAGCCTAGAAGAGGACTTTAATCTTCACCACCTTCCTCACGGTTCTCTTACGGTGATGGTGAGCAATTATGTAATTGTGGTCTAAGGGATATATAGGTATACATGCACCCACAGAGGGAGTGATGAAGTAAACCAGTCTCTTCCAAGAAAAATATCTTTATCTCACATAACCTAAAAGTTAAAAACTTTTGGACTGCGATTTCCTTTCTTTTCAAAGGCATTTTTTATGTTTACTGATACTTTTCCTGTTTACAAAATATGAACTTGGATCACTTTTCAAATTTACATACCATAAATTTGTTTATCTGACAGTTCATGGGCTTAGCTCCCTCTGTGGATCACAAAACAATTTCAGGAAAGGCAGAGACGAGGTCTGGGGAGTTGGTCCTATTTAGAAAAGAAAACCAGCTTCCTCATTCTTCTTTCAGGCAGACTCCTTTTGGTAAACAGTAAAAGTCGTATTTCAAAAAAATCTGAATCTGTGGTCTTATATGACAATGAAAGTCACATTTTGAACTGGCAATTTAAGGGAAACCTTAGATTGTATAATGATTGGGAGCCCTTATTTTAAGTTTTGCAAAAACCAATATAATTGATTCATTTAGTGAAATTTTATTAAATTAACAGTAATAAAATTTGTATGAGATTGAAAGCATGGACAGGATGGGAAATAAAGGTGACTGACCTGTCCCTCTGGGGACCTGGGAGTCTCTGCAAAGGTTTTATTTGTGTGTGTTGGTGGAGTGAGTGCTTGAGGCCAGTTCCACCGAAGGACAGACCCAGCTCCCATTCCCTAGGCCCAGAGAAATGGGACACCTCTCTGCTCTGAAATGTTGATGAGCTATGGAGGGGAGAAGGACAGGGGAGCAGATGGAATTCCTGGACAATTGTTCCGGCTGTCACCAGAGAGGACAGGCAGGAGGGAGCACTGGATAATTTACAGAGGAACAGATGCTGAGGCTCCTCCGGAACCATCTGGCCAAGAGAGGCCTGGGCTCAGGGAGGATGTTGTCTTTAGATCTGAGTAAACTCCTCGGCCTCCAGCCCACCCCATTTCCTCTACCTGAACTATAGCTTTCCCAGGAGAACTCTGCTCCCTGAAGACCCACCTCCCGAGTTCCACCTGGCTCTCATTCCACTCCTTTCTTTTCTGAGGAGAGGTTAAAAATACTCCAGAATAGAAAGTGTTTTACAGGCCCAATAAAACATTTTCTATTTTGTAGTATTTTTAACCTCTCTTCCCCACCTCTATATTCCAAACTTCCTCTATCACTCATCTCCATGCCATTTATTAGTTCAATAAACATTTATTGAACACCTACTATGCTAGGAATTGTTTTAGACACTGGGGCCAAGTGACAAGTGAGAAAAAGTCCCACACCTGCAGAGTTAGCATTATAGTGGGAGATAGTCAATAAACAAAGAAATATTTAATATGTCAGATATCAATAAGTTCTATGAAAGAGAAAATTAAGGCAGGGTAAAGAAGAGTGGCTGAGGATGCTGTTTAGATCGAGTGGTCAGGGAAGGCTTCTCAGATGGTGACATATAAGCAGAGACATGCATGGGAGTGAATATCTGGAGGAAGAACATTCCAGGGTCAGGGAACAACAAACCTAAAAGCCCTGAGGCAGAAGCAGACTTAGTGCCTTAGAGGATGCCATGCTATTTATCCATTAAGCATTTACTGTATGCCAGGTACCTGCAGGGGAATGGGGAATATGAAGATGAAATCAGACATAGTTTTCGCCTTGAAGGAGCGTCAACTTAGTGAGGGATACAGCATGTAAACGAGTAAGTATAGCACAGGCTAGCAACAATGAAGTTGTATGCAAGTGCAAAAAGAGCACCAAATCCAGTCTGGGGGATTGGAAATGGATTTCTGGAGGAGGTGACAATTTGAGCTGAGGGCTGGAGGAGTAGGAATTGATAATGCAAGGGGAGAGGAGGGCTTGGGCATTTAAGACCTGAATACACAGGGCAATTAGGAATCTGAAGTCCGGAGGAGAGGTGGAAAATTAGGCTGGTGAATGTGGAAGAGGCTGGTTATGCGGATCTCTGCAGGACAATCAGAAGCTGCTTTTATCCTTTGGATGATGCGGAACCACTGCTAAGACTCTCCCACCAAATTTTTGTGCTGTTTTGTCCATTTTTTTTTTTTTTTAAATACCAGAATCTTTCCCCATCCTTCCCGCTATTGCCCTACTCCCACTCCTTCCTTCTCCAGCGGCGGGGCCTCCAAAGGCGGCTCTTTGGAGATCCCGATCTTTCCGCTTAAACCGGTGCCCGGCCCGAGGCCACGCCCATCGCCACGCCCCCGGTGACGCACTGCGCCCAGTGCGTGGGGATTCCCAAAGCTGTGGCCACTCCCGGCCTGCCCCGCGAGAAGATGGCGGCTTGAAGGCAGCGGGTCGCGGAAGAAAGTTTGTTGTGGGATTGGAGTAGTTGGGCCGAGAGTCTGGAGTTCAGGGGAGGGTCGTGGGAACACTAGCATGGAGTAGGGCGGAGGAGGGACTAGCGCGGGAGCTAAGAAGAGGAAATGGAATGGTGGAAGGTTGGAGGCAGAGAGAAAAAAAAAAGAGGGAGATTGGGTAGGAAGAGAGGATCCAATGGCAGCCCTGGGGGAGGGGTCCAGGGCGGAGGAGCCAGAAGTAGGTGTGCAGTCACCAATTGGAGGGGAATTTTTAACCGGAGAGTAAAGAAACCTGGAGCTTGTGGCCGAGGTCCGACTGTACCAGGCCGGTGGGAGAGGAGCATAGTGGGGAAAGGGAACCAGAAACCTGGAGGATGCTGGGCAGCTTGGGTAAGGAAGGAACTGAAGTCAAATGACCCTTCCAGACTTAGATCAGCCTTTCCACAGTTTCTATAGAGGCATCTGCCCCAATTTCAGCTGAAGACTCAGGGGCCCCAGGGACTGGAAGAATCACAGTGCCTCCTTGGAAGAAGAAGAGGTAGCGACTTGCCCAACCCCAACCCCAGAGCGGGTAAGGTGGCCTCCGGTGACAGGCTGGCATGCTCCCCCGAAGCAGGATGCATGGACTCCGAATGATGCTGAGAATCATTTAATCTGAGGAGGGCGCTGTTCTATAGAAGTTGCCCTTTGCCTGTGGTCCCTAGATTAGTGTTCTGCTTGGATTGCATGCTGGTTTTAGAGTCAGATGTAGAATTGAACCTTGTGTGCCTTCATCCGTGCACGCAAACGTGGATGGGCAAGGGCCTAGAGATCAGGCTGAAAATATTTTAACACATCCCTGTCACAAGCATTTTCTTACATGTTCACTGTATCTTCTTCAGTCTTCCCATCACATCTTCAGTTTGGCATCCTGCCTGAAGTGGAGATTTGTGGGTGACAGATGGTGGGGAGTCATGAGAAAACAAATTTATGATGGTGTTCACTACCATTTAGGTACCTGCTGTCACCAACTCCTGAGTTCACTCTTGCAGCATTTCTACTTCTTTTGATCTTGTCTTTTGGTAAGGGCTCATTAGTATCTTGGGGGTGTGGATTTGGTGGTAGATCAGGTCAGAGGAAGAGGAAAGGCAGGTTGAAATTAGGGAGAAGAATCCAGATCAGTTTATGGTAAGAGGTCAAGCTGACTGGTGTAAAGCTCTGGGAATGTTTATTACATAACTCTCTGAGACCCCTGATATTTGAGAACTGCTTTACAGCCTGGACCAGTGTTGTGATGGAGGGAAAGGATTATGGAACTTGCCCTTTCTCTTCTGGTAACTTGCTTCTCTTTGTGTTCTCTCCATCAAACCACATTTAAAAAAATCAGTTTATTAGCCAAACTAAGCATGGCTTTAGAGATAGTGGACTTGGGATTGAAGAAAAAGAAAGGGGTCTGGAGCCACAGAAAGCAGTGAATATGGCCCTCACTTGCTTTGATGCCCTATGGTTAATCCCAAGCCAGAGTTGGGAGTAGGCTTCCTACTGAAGCCTGTTTCAGGGCTGACATCTGCTTCATGACTGGACTAGGAGGTCTGGTTTGATCTAGGACACCTCATTAACCATCTCCTGAGCTTTCTGCTCCCATCCCCCAAAAGGAGTTTGACTCCAGACCAACCCAAATCACTGTTCTAGGCCAGCTTCAGTATCTTCAGGTACCTGAAGCACTGATGCTATTTAGCTGTGACTCCATTAGAAGGTTAGGAACCTTTTCTTTCTGAGGACAATTTGTGGATGCACCCTTGGAAATTGTCATCAGCAAGCAGCAAGGGCTGTGTGGTGAGTGCACATACAGGTTAAGAGCACTGACTCTGGAGCCAGACTGTTTAGTTCATATCCTGGCTTTGCCATTTGTAGCTGTGTAACCTTTAAAAATTACATAGCTCTCTGTGCCTCAGCTTTTTCTTCAATCAAATGGTTTGGTAAGTATATCTCATAGGGCTGTTGTGAGGATTAAATAAATTAATACACAAATGCATTTAGAACAGTACCTGACCCTCAATATGTATTTGTTGTTATAATGCTAGTCAGATCTCAGCACTAATTTCTGCTTCATGATGGAACCTGGAGTCTGTGGAGGACCTGTACTGGTTCGGGCTGCTATTCTGATGTTAGAGAGATGAAGTACAGCTTTTTGAACAATTTAAAGTGATGTTAAGCCCTGGCTGGTGTGGCTCAGTTTGTTGAGCATTGTCCCATGCACCAAGAGGTTGCTGTTTCAATTCCTGGTCAGGGCTGACATTTAAAAAAAGGCTCAGTTACCAAAGCCAGATTACTGGTCAGGACACATGCCCAGGTTTCAGGCTCAATCTCCAGTAGTGGGCATGCAGGAGGCAGCTGATCAGTGTTTCTCTCAAATCAATAAAAACATTTAAATAAAATTGTTGTTAAAATGCCAATGATTTCCTGCTGAAGCTTTGATTCTGTAGAATTATCTTCTTTGCGGTTGAGTGATGATAACACTAATAGTGTTTATCAAGCACATTTTATGTGCCTGGCACTGTTGTGAGTGCTTTAAATGTATTAAGTAATTTTTATAATAACTGTATGAAATAGATACTGCTATTATCCCCATTTTACAGATGAGTAAATAGAGGTGCAGAGTGGTTAAGTAATTTGCTCAAGGTTACTGAGCTCATACGTGGCAGATCTGGGATTTGATCCCAGGAAATCTGGCTTTGGCAACTGAGACTTTTTTTTTGGATTTAGTATAAAGTTAACTTTTAAATATAACTAGTGGTAATTTGTATCTCTTTGTTTACCATAATGGTTAGATGTATACTCACATTGCAGTAAAATTTTTTGGTTATTTAAAAAATGTTTTAGGAGCTGAGCTCTTCATCACAGCTCTCTCCTTCCTCTCAGAAGTAATAACTGGTGCTGAGACCTTGGTGACAGAGCCCTCTGTGCCATGTTAGCCAAATCTGGACTCTCTCTTCATGATTCAACTTGGCCTTTGGAAAACCTTGGGCCTGGGTTGGATGAGCAGACTGACATTAGGATCCACTATAAGCATGGCTTAAAGGAATGTGTGTATGTGTGTATGTGTGTTTGTATATTAATGTACATGTAAATATAAGGCTCATTTCTGACTTTGATTACTGACATGAGCAGTTGAAGTAGCCATAGTGTTAAATTCATGGACAGTCTGGATGCATCTTTCTTTTAAAAATAGCAAGTAGCAAACTACACAGAAAAAAAAAACCATGGCATTTTAAACAGTTCCCTCCCACCCCCCAGCTTAAGAGGAAAATGGAAAACAAATGTGCTTCTGCTAAGGCTTGTTTTACTGAGGAGGACCCTGGCTCAGTGCTCAGTCTTTTTACCTTTAGCCAGGTAGAAGGCCTCTGTGCAGCCTTGAGGCACAGGTGTGCCCAAGGTTTGATAGACTGGCTTTCCTTTGCCCTGTGTTTAAAACTCACTCTTCTTCTCCTTCTGAGTCATGTCCTGTCTAATTAAGTCACCCTCAGGGCCCATCTTTTTCTTCAGTAAATGACTTTCCACCCTGCCATCAGAGTAGGCACGCGCCTGGTGTCTAACCAGATTTCAGGGAATTGGGGGTTTAGGAATTAGGGCTTTCCCTGGGAATTCCTACCCAGCCCTGTGATGAAATTTCTATTTGTCGTGGCACACGTGATTTGTCAGTCTCTGCTCCCTTCCTCCATTAACTTAGGAGCCATGTATCAGGATAGTGTACTTTATCTTGTGTTGCAGGCAGCATGCTGAAACGTGTTATCGCCATCGAGTACATCTTAGTGTTTTGGTAGATAGAAATCCTCAGACTTGGATTCGGGTCACATTTTAGCAAATGATTAAACTGCAGGGTGAAGTCGGATGGATTTTTGAGTTGATTCTCCCCTTTACTGTTTTCTTTTAGATGTCTAAATCAGTTTCTTCTCATAACACCCCTTATTCATGTATTATCTTTGAATATAACACTTTTACATCCTTAACACCTCATTTTGAGTGCCAAGGACCTCTAGGTAAACCAGGCCTTCATTTCTTACCTGGATTCAGTCTCTTAACAGCGCTCTGACCTTACCTCATTCTAGCTCCTGGGCATCTGCAAGTGTTGGTCCTGCTGCCGGGGATACATTCCTCCTCCTCCCTTTCCTTTTTGTCCTTCACATCTTAGTTTAAATGTCACTTCCTTTGGGACCTCACTCCCTCTTAGTGCCCTTCTTCTGTGCTTCTAATACATATCCTGTATTGCAGTTGCCTGTTTACTTGTCTGACTCTTACAAGACTGTAAGTGCCCTGAGAAGAGGGGCTGTATCTTATTATTGTATTCTCTTGTTTAGGATAGTGCAGGGTGCAGAGTAGGTGCTTTATAATGCTGTGGTACATGCAGAATGAATGAAACGTGATGGGTAGTCTCTCCCAACTCTATCTTCTCTGCTGAAATTATTTTCCTATGAAAACACACATGATCTCTCTTTCCTTAGAAATGCCATGGGTTCCCCCATTTTAGGATAAAGTCCATACTCTTTGGCTAGACATGCGAAAAGGTTCTCTACACTCTGGCCCAAACCCAAACCTCTAGCCTGAGTTGCTGCCGCTCCACTTCATCTGTCCTGTTCTTCATTGCTCCTAAATTTCTTGCCTCGCCTGAACCTGTTGTGGCTGGCCATCCATTTACTTTATTCTTTGCTTGTGCACTGTACTCTCTCCATAATACTCACCATGTGGCTGAAACTCTGCTCATCCCCTAAGACCAGCTCCTCTGTCACCACCAATGAGAAGACTTTCCTGCTTTCCTTTCCCCCTCTTGGCCCCCACAGCCCTGTGTTTGAACTTCTTTTCTGGCACTTACCTTGTATGGTGAGTTCTCTGTTTACTCGTTCATCTCTTTCACTGAGCTGACCCCCTGTAGAGGAGTGACTCTCCCTGATCACAGGGTAGGGGTGGTCGGATGGGGGAGACTGGGAGGGTGGGGGTATGTGGAGAATTGGGAGTGGGTGAGCAGTGTGATAGAGTCTGATTTTGGAGCTAGGCAGACCTGGTTTAAATCCAGACTCTGCCACTTATCAGCTGTGGGACTTTGGGCAAGTTGCTTAGCCAGTAGAATCCTTGGTCTTGTACCTTATAATGTGAGAATGGCATTATCTTTCATGCAGGAATATTGAGCATTAGAGGTAATGAGTTTACATCATATAGCACAGTGCCTGGCATATGAAAGATACTCAGTAAATTTTGTTGAATGAACAAATTCCATTTTGAAAAACTCAATGTATAAGGAAGGCTTTGTTTTATTCAAGCTAGAATAAGTCTTTTGCTTTCTGCCAGGTAGCCAGGAACGTTTTTGAGGTGGGAGTAAAATTGAGTCTTCTTTCTTGTGATGAAGCAATAAAGAAGGTGAGGTTGGGGACATTGTCAGTGAGTAGACTGTGCAAAAAAAGATTGTTAATGCTTCTCCACATGCTTGTGTTGTAATGACTCCTTTGACAAGTCATGACATGCATTTGAGATTGGTGGTGACTTTGGTGGATACAGGCGGGGGCAGGTAGATGGTGGATTTGTAATATAGTTAAGGCT